CAGGTTCAAAAATTAAAGAACAAATTTGTATTCTTGTAGCAAAATGGGAAAACTGGCGGAAGTGTTATGAGATTCTGTGAACTCAGTATTGAATAAATGATTTGACTCTCCTTGTATTATTTTCCAAGTCATATTTTTTCACGATGTTAATTATAATTTCAAATGTTGCTATCAGGTTTTTTACATATTTTTGTCAAACATTCATTTACCGAATTATATAAAACCCTTAAATTTTTTTTTAATACTCATTTCAATTATTTTGATTTTTTTTCACTTCAAAACCAGTTTTGGGAAGAATTTTTTCAGGTATGGCTGGCTCTTTGCATAATCACTAGTGAGCCATTTTAGTAGAATTTTTATTATTTTTAATAATATTCTAGTATAAACCTCAATAACTATTTTTAAATTAAAATATAAATAAATAAGCAAGACTTAATTGTTTATATTGTTCCATAGTTCCTAGATAGGACTAATAAATGCACCTATGTCATTCTGTAAGTTAATAACAAAACTACAGCAGTTTTCTTTATATGTTTTAATGCATTTGACAGTTTGTATAGTCAGAAGAGGAGCATGCTCCCATCACATCCTTAAACATCAGTGCAATTAAACAGGCCTAATGGAGACACAGAGCACTCTGGTGTCCCTGTCTCATCCTTTTACTTACTGACCCCTATCAGAGACTGACAGTGGGATTGCACAGAGGTTCTGTACTTTATCCTTGTTCTCTGTTAGGGTTGCTCTTGACGATAAGAACTGTTCTTCGGGACAAGAAGAGATTATCAGGTTTGATACCAACTGAGCACAGTTAACCCTGCCTTTTATCTGAAGTAAATGCTAGGCAGACATGAATTGTAGGGAACCTAGAGGCATTTATAAGGATTTCCTCCTACAAAGTAATTTTTGTGTTTAGTTATATTTAGTTTTCCTTATATTAAGTATGAAAAATAAATCAAAATGACATGAAAAGAAAAATACCATTATAAATATTATTTACTAATGGATTTCATTAACTGCAAAATTTGATTATATGTATGAAGCCTAGTGTGTATTGGATAATAATAATAATAATAGAAGTAACTGATTGGAAAGTTCCTGTGTGGTGGCATACATGTTGTATATTAGGTATTGGGTATTAAGATGTGTCTATAGTGATTATCTATATATTTATCATAGAGAAATGGCCATTTTTTTTAATGAAAACTGTGATAGAAATAGGTAAAAAATAGATAAGCAGGAGATACTCTAAGACGAGGTTTTCAGAAGGGCCTGAGGAAGTTAAATGTATAAATCCCAGTGAATTACAACTCGATTTGTACATATAATCCTATCAGGTGCTTTTCAAAGTTAAGTTTTCCTATGCAGATGTTTATATTTCTGTATGGTATTTTTTGTCTTTTTAGCTGAGACATAATTACTCTGAAAAATATGTGCTAGGGCTATAAAGGAATCTTAAAAAGCATAATACAGACCTTACTAAAAGAAGAAAAATTCTGATGAGAAAACACATTATTTCTTGGGTTCCACAAATTATTCACTGCAATGATAGCATTAGAGAATGAAAAATCATAATCTTGACATGTTCGATATGCTGGATCATCTTTCTTCGTAGTATTGTTAGTTAGGACGCACTGATGGCATTACTATGTTGGAAAGGATTTAAACAAGCCAGTAATGATCAGCAGTCTATGATCTTTAAAAGTGGCTCTCTACTTGCCCTTACAGTTTTCTGTTCATTCTGTTCAAACTGTCATTAACACAGTCAGAAGTATTCACAGCATTTAATTGCTTACTCCTAGGTTCACACATTGTGCAAGATGCTGGTCTTTCTGATTACTCTCTATCACCAAACAGAAATTCCTTTGGAGAATAGTCCCATTACTGGAGAAAATGTATTAAGCCATGTTCTTTCGAAAAGTCTCTGGTTTTTCCATATACTACCCAGGAAGCGTCCTAACTTACAGTCTTTTGTAGCTGCAATTACCAGTTTTTCACATCACTCTATTACAGTTAAAATTCCCCAATTTCAATATTAATACTGGAGTTGTTAGATACGCTGGATGGTCCAAAAATGCCTACTTCCTCACTGTACACAAAGACTCAAGTTTTGTGATGTAATCAACTATAACAAACATAATACCTTCAGTAATATGGTACATTTTTGTATGAGATCGGCCATGTGAGTGGTTGACAAATATGATTTCTTAGAAAGTAATTTCTAAAAAAACCCCCCATTTAAATCATTTTAAGTGTCTTCCAAAAACAATAAGTTTTTCTTACTACTGGTTTTCCTCCAAACCTGAATTTTGTAGTTATATTCCACATTAGTTAAATACCAACACTTAGTACTACCAAAAAAAATTGTGTAACATGTTCAATATAGTCTTTACCTGTAAAGAAACCTGTGCAGTTTTTATTATACGGCTGTATTGCTTATCGAAACATTCTTTTTTCCTTTTTTTTTTTTTCCCCACCACAAATTTGAAATCAGCCTCATTACTATTACAATATTGAACTTTGTTTCCCAAGTCGATTAGTCTTTTGGCTTTTCACTTTCTTTTATGTAAGCTGTATTGCACTGCGGTTAATGCAGATTCTTTGGATCAATGCTATTTCATTTTATAACTTTGCAAAAACATACAGCATTACTTAAAAGCAGGTTGAACAAATTGAGCTACAAATTCTATTTACCTTCAAGCAAGCAGGGCTTTGAATTGGTGAAAATAATACTACTGTGTGCAGGATGTCACAAATGTTGTGACAAATGTCACATGTTTCTGCTACCTACTGCTATCATAAATTA